TGTTCTAGATCCACGCGTGAACTCACGCGGGGTTCCTTGTCGGCGTATAAAAGCGTCTGCTTGTGGCGCTGGCCGCGGGCAGCCCTTTTCGGCTTGAGCCGTATTTATACGTTTCGCCGTGCGCTCGCTGCAATTTTTCCAACGATGCACCATAAGATTGTAAGTGGTGTCTCTATGGTTCTCGCCTAATTTCGTATAATTTGGATCTTTATATATAAAACGTTAGATGGTAAGTGAACATTTACGATGGACATAGCGAGATAACCATATTTGAGTGTGGGCATTATTTTGTATTTACACGTTTTCACATGCACGTGTGCCAGCTACATCACGTGTGAGTATTAAAATTTGGAAGGCGTATGAAAAAGCATGGCGCGAGTCCGCTGAAAATATTAGGTTAACACGCACCGCGAATGTAAGCACCTCATTGCGACATTTATCTGTGATAATCATGTGAATGGCGACGCAAGAAACCGCGTGTTAGTGTCTTCACGTTTCACGTTACTGGCAATGTTATCGAATATCGACTATTCAGGGTACAGATAATAGTGCTTCTATTCAATCTCACTCGCTCGATGTTATCAATATGCACGAGCTAATAATACCTCTAATATTCAAGGCGATAAGAATAGTGAATATTGTGGATGCGAGGCGCCGTGGGAGGGGAAGTTTACGAGCAGTTGTTCATATTATAGCTGAGAGGTCGATTTCCCCAGGGTAGACTGCCGGAACGTTAACGGCCACGGTACGGCTGCCGGTGATACCCGGAACGTACGATAAGCGCCTGGCACTAATCTAACTATCCGGACCCGATACCACCTCGGCCTACTCCACTAACGAGTTCTAAGGGAAGTCGCCTACGCGCTAGCTCGAGACGCGTGAAGCTACACCCCTAACCCTCAACCATGATTGAGAATTAGTTACCAAAGGGTAGCGTGTCCGCGCCCGTAATCACGCCGGTGCCCTCGGCACCGTACCGCAGGTACGTTCCGCCGCAGCTACGCCTGGGGGACATAGACTGCCTATGAGCCCTATTATAATATTCCTACGCTTTGCCCTAATTATCGATCAGGAAACCGTTGTCAGAAAGATCATAAAGTTATGAATAAAGTTACGAAATTTTGAATTTATGATATTCATATAATCTCTTTTGGCCAACCACCAGACCCCCCCAAACCTGCGCAACGCCCACCCCCCAGCCTGACAACGCCTGACCCCGCAGCCTGACAACGCCGCCCCCCCCCAACCTGACAACGCCCCACCCCAACCATGACAACGCCTGCCCCCCAGCCTGACAACCAGCCTCCCCCCAGCCTGACAACGCGGCCCCCCCACTGAACAATGCCCCGCAGCCTGACAATTAGCCCCCCACACCTGAACAACGCCCCCATCCCCCCAACATGACAATTGCCCCAGCCTGAGCAATGCCGGCACCTCCAACTGAACCCAGCCCCCTCCGAACGCCCCCCCCCCAACGCTGACAAACTGCCGCCGCCCTCCCAAACACTGACAGCCCGCCCCCCCACCTAACACGCCCGCACACCCCCCCGAACCTGAAAACGAGGAATGAGATCATTCGTCACAGCAAGTCCGACTCACTCACTGTACAGCACTTCAACAGCAGTTTCCACGCTAGATAGCTATCGACAGTGATGCGTATAACAAATATGAGAGCGAAGCGGCATTGCATGGCGTGAAAAGACGACAGAAATGAATTGGCTACACTGACCATATAACCAAACTGATTTAGTTGCGACACGGCGCTGCATACTGGGCTGAAGACCCATCACAAATAACACAGTTCAAAACAACTGCCTGATAAGCCGAGCATGCTGATCAAGAAACGAAGACGCCCAAGACAAGCGGATGTAACAAGTAAGACACGGGTGGATCGTGGCGATATATCACCGTTGTGAGGGCAGTACCCATGTGTCACGACAGTGATCGTTGAACTGCCGCAGGAGTCCAATTTGAAAAGTCGGCGACGGAATCGCAGCAAGAAACATCGATGCAGCGAAACACGAAGGTCCTTTGAATTTGGAACTGCCGACGCATTGAGCGACGACTTGCGGCAGCACAACGCTGGGGATGCATTCCCGCCGTTTTTGCGAATCCCCGCGACGCCGATTTCCAGGCAGAAGATTGGTACCGCATGTAACAGCAGCGAAAAACCTCTAAGGACGAAGAATATAGCCAGCCGCCGGCCCAGACATCCTTTACAGCGATGGATCCTCCATCTGTCTGTGTGTTAAAATCGAACGGTTGGTAAACGATAGGATACGCTGGTCGTTTATACAAATATACAGTACCACTAAGATTCCCTGATTCAATATAGGCCCACTTTGAGTACTATGTAGATTGTGTGTGAGAGACGAGAATCAGAAATTGCGCTACTATCCTATTGCACAGAAGCCTGCTCCCATAAGGCTGCCTTTAACAGCTTTAGTAAGAAAAGTGTTTTAAGTGTAGTCAGTGACACGAGGAAAAGAACGTGGGAGTCGGGGCAGGCCAATGAGAAAGGGAGCTCAGTGTGAAACACCAACGAGGACGCGGGTATATATAGATTATATCAGTCTCATGCTCAATCAGGAGTGTCATAATAATGTATATAGATAGATATATGATATGGAGTGAATAATAATACATTATTATTATTACTATTAATAATTCAACTCCTGATAATAAGATAGATATCGATTTTTTCCTACATTTAATAATAATAATTAAAAATAACAATTATCCTCTCTATATCTCACATCTCTCTCTCAGTTCTCTATCTCTAACATCTCTCTCTATCTCTACATCTCCTCTCTCCTGCTCTCTTCTCTACAATCTCTACACTCTCTGCCTACTCTACATCTCTACCCTCTCTCATCCTCTCTCTCTCGCTCTCTCTCTCGTCTCTCTCTCTCTCTCTCTCTCTCTCTCGCTCTCTCTCTCTCTCTCTCTCTCTCTCTACTCTCTCTCTCTCGTCTCTCTCTCTCTCTCTCTCTCTCTCTCGCTCTCTCTCTCTCTCTCTCGCTCTCTTCCTTTCTTTCTGTCCCTCTCTGTCTGTCTGCCCGTCTCTCTCTGTCTGTCTGCCTGTCTCTCTCTGTCTGTCCGCCTGGCTCTCTCTCTCTCTCTCTCTCTCTCTCTCTGACGTCATCGATGCCTCCTCCTATTGCAGAACATGGGAGCATACAGCGTGTTGATCACACCAGGCTTCAATGGATTCCCAAAGCCTTCCCTCTACCTCGCCTCGGCTCCAGAAAAACGCAGGCGTCTCTCTGAACACGTAGACAAAGAAGGGGAAAAGAAAGAGGAAGAGGAAAAGAAAGAGGAAGAGGAAGAGGAAGAGGAAGAGGAGAGCCGCTAGAGGGTCGTTCTAAATCAAACATGTTTGATTTTGAACCGATTATTTTGAAGCGATTTTGTGTAATCCGACAAGATTTTGTGGTGTGCGCGTGAACTCAGGAAAATCGTCTACGATAAATATTGAACAGCCAATAGCTGAACGTGCCCGTGTCACATGACATTTACATTTTATCGTAGGTTTATTATGACATCACATTTTACCGTAGGTGTGCGGGTGTTTATCGGAAGGCGTCGCGATGAGCCGATTTTACAAACGGTGAAGAGATTTTTTAATCGGACCGATTTTTGGGTAGGTGTGCGACGGCCTTAAGACGACACGTAACGTCTGTGCGTCGTCCGTGCGTCGTACGTATGCAACTCATTTTGTTTCGAATGGGCACGAAGGGACATTAATTCGCGCGTCTGGGGTTTGCGGCAGTTGACCCTTGACGGTTCGCCGTTACTAAAAGGCTTGGAAGCGGAGAGGCCGTGCAACTGCCGCCGCTGTCCTCCCCCGCGCCTCTCACCGCAAGGAGAACGGGAAGGGCCTGTCATGCAAGAAAGCGCGGGAACGAAACGAAGCGACCGCCGGGTAGATCGCGTCGCGTTGGATCTAGCGATTATTTTTATCGGGTGAATTTGTAGACGATTTTACTTACCCGATAAAAATCAGCCGATATCGGGTAGGTGTGCGCGTTCCCGATCAAATCGCTGGTGTGCGACCCCCTTTAGGGATTGAATTAAAAGCAGAGTGGACAATGGAGCGTGTGTGATAGAGTGCGGAGGGGTCGACGTCCAGAATCACTCTCTCTTAACTAAAATGCTCTTGGATTTTAGAAATTTAGACCCTTTAAGATGGCGGTTTTTAAGGGGATTGAAAAAAATTGAAATTGTAACTGTAGCCGTAGGCCTAAGTGCAATATACTTGTGAATTCTAGGGTTATTTTTTTCTTTGGCTTCCAAAGGTTCAATAACACGCAACTCCCCTCCCACAACTACATCACTGGAATAATCTCGCCCTAAAATTTTGATAAAACATATTTTACTGAGAATGCTAAAACTGTACAAAAAAGTATGAGAAAAACAACCAGATTTGAACCAAAAAGTGCATATTTTCGACTCCTCCAAAAAAAAAGTGTAATGAATTTCCTTTATTCAATCCCCGTGAAAATTCAATATCCCAACTCTCAATAGGTCTATTCTAATTTTGAATAAAGCAGGGATTTAACTTTCGTGAGCAGTGATAAGACGTGATTTGAGGGTTTTGGAAAAAGTCGTACCGGGGAATGCTTCCAAAATTAACCGTCTGAGTTTCAGACTTCAGTAAAATAATGTCATTCTTGGAACGAGTTACAGACATTTTATAGTAGATGTACGTCACTTTCCATTTGTGTAATAATACGTTAGGAGAGTATGGATAGGGATGACGGATTTGTAGATAAATGTTCAGATAAATTTATTGTCTGTAAAATATAAAAAATTTCCCATTTTTCTCCTGAAATTAGGGGGGATGATTGTACACGCCATCCCCCACCTCAATAAGTGTGGGGGATATATCCCCCCTCCGCTATCTACGCCGCTGGTATAATTAGTAAAATTATTTTAGTAGCCGCTCTCGTTGTTCAGCGTCAGTATCGCCATCATAATAAAAACCCGTATAGTGTATTTGTTCCCCGATAGAGGTCAGTCACGATCGAAGAAATGCGAAGGACGGAATCGAATTTATCTGTAAGTAATAATCTCTATGTTTAATTCGTGTAAAGCGATACTAGTGCTAAAACTTGTCTAGTTGCAATGTGCATTTTTTGTTAAACACAGTCTTTCTAAATGATTTAATATTGGCTTATTACCGTTTGAAGAATGCAAGGAAGTAGGACGATGGATCCGGGGTAAAACCATCGCGGCATCGGCATCATACAGTGATACACTGATTCAGTGATTGCGACTGAGTGTCAGAGTGGTGTAATTTTGCACTTTCACTATTACTATTAGTATTAAAATTATTTACCTTGATATATGAGATTTATCATTATAAGGGCTATCCGTATAATTCGCACAACATCGGCGTTTTGCAGAAACATTTCTATGAAATTGTTTTCGAGTGATGCTGTTGCAATAATTTGAGTAAACACTTCTAGAAGTAGAAGAAGTGATTAGGGCCTATATATCAAAATGCAGTTTGAAACTTGCTGTACAAAAACGCATAGTTGGCTCAGTTTCTAAGTATCCCCGTGGCTAGCTTAACATTTAATAGCCCAAGTAAATCAGTAAACGTCTGGCTTTGTCACAGTAACTGGGTGACGCTCATTTATCGAGTTATACAATTTTCTGAAAAGAAAAAGTAAAAGTAATCCAATTGGTGCCATTCACACCCACCTCCATTGGCCTTAAATCTTGGCCGCTTGGCCGCAATGGACAAACAGTGGAATTCAAGATAAAGTAAATACATGGCTTTAAATACCGTGTAATTAGCATTTCTATTTGAACTGTTTTAAAAGTGTAATTGAAAACATCAATATCAACACAATACATGTACAAGTGATCACAAAGATACAATAGAAACATGCAGTTACTTTAAGTCGAAAAAAATTCGACTGTGTAAGTCGAAGCTTTTCCTCCAGTCCCGGCGGATTCGACTTAGGCGAGGTCGACTGTACGTAGTACCGGAGCAGTAGTGTAAGTGCTAGTCATCAATCATGATGTCTATGCAGCAAATACTAGTTTATATATCTTCCAGGAATCCAGGTTTAGTAATCCTGCTGTATTAGTTGAGGTAAAGAAAACTGCAATGTATAGACTAGAGTGGCAGAATCCTAATCGCATTTCATTAGCAAAATAGTGTATCACACGGTCTTTACCACTGTGATATGCTCTGTGATCTCTGTATTTACTTGCACAGTGTAGGGCTTAATAAATAACATAATAACCTAACTTTGTACTTGAGTTTACATTACATACATTACATGGTTGATACAATGTCAGAATGTTCCTGGACAGAGTAATACAGAGCTCTGTGTAATTTCTAGTACTGGTGAAAACAGTCTACAGTGGCCAACACTACGTGTTTTACCTGTCTAAAGTGGTTAATTTTCTTGTCTCCAGCCAAAATCCCATTCTCAGTGACTGGCCTCCATAGAATTTCTGATGAGTGACCTGATGATAATCCACCCAATGTGCATAAAGAGCGGAAATATTCATGACCTGGTGAGTATCATAGCATTATATCAGATTTCTAGGATGTAGAATGGTCCCATTTTACGTAGCTGTGCTCTGTTAAAATTATTTGGATATATAATTACAAGCAGCCGTGTAGCTATTATGCTGCTAGGAATTGTTTGTGACTGTGTATGTGTAAATGCTCAGTTATTTTACTCGCATATACATGGGATGGATGTTTTTGTGCTTGTGTACAGTTTGTCTCTGCTTGGTAGGATTGCAATAATCAGTGGGGTATCTGCAGAGTGCAGAATCTAGTAATTGCTCGTCAAACAATCTGAATGTCATATAGCCTTTATAGTATGAAAATGTAACGTACCCTATAACAATCTTACACAAAGCATTGCAAGCAAAAAAAATACATGTTAATTATGCCTTATCGTGTGCGTGTTTGCTTACTTGTGCATTAGTCTGATCTGTGGGTGGGTGTGCCTGTGTGTTTGTGAATTTGTGTGCATGCTTGTGTGTGTTGTGTGTGTGTGTCTGGTTACAAACCCTATACTGAAGAGAGTAGAGTAAGAGGAGTAGAGTCGAGACATGTATACATATTATGTAGTTTCTGACTGAGGTGGTCAGTGTTCTTATTAACACTCAAGGATTTTAATAGTCGATACAAGCATGGTCAAACTGCGTGTACATCATTGTATTGGTGTACTCTAACAGGGACTTAGCTCAGCAGATTGGTTGCATGTTGTAAAGAGAAGGTTTTAACAATGATATAAAAAGCAGAACGTTTCTGTATGACAAAATTTACTTATTGGAGATACACTGTGGTTGAAATAGCTCCTGCGAATACTCGAAAATTCTCGAATTTTAAAATGGCATTTTCCTTGTATTTAAAGTTCTGGAATAAAGGCTAGTTCTGCTGAGAGGGTCTATGTCCCCCGGGGTACTGCCGGAACGTACCCTGGTCACTATTTGATATGGTTAGGGTTAGGGTTAGGGTTAGGGTTAGGGTTAGGGTTA